CTCTCAGGACACCGCTCCTTAGGATTCATCAGGCCCAGCAGCAGCTGGAGAGAATGTGGGGGTCTGGGAGACGCCACAGGTTGGCTGCTGGTTGATCGCTGTCCTGCAGGAAACAAGAGGCTCCTCGGAGGGGCAGGGACTTGCAGCACCGAAGGCACACAAAGAGGGTCAGGGTGGGAGGATGAAATGGCTGATTCTGTCCCTTTGAGTGTGGAAACCTCTTTGCCACACACGTCCCCTCCCACGCCAGATCCAGCTACTTGAAATGCAGCTTCCACAGCGGCACTGGCCTTCCCCTCGCCTTGCTCTGGGACGAGGCCGTGCAGCACGCACACGGCCCAGCGTGCCCCTTCTGTAAGGGCTGCCCGTGCCAGCACGGCTCCAGCGCCGGCTCCAGCACACAGCACCGGCTGTTGGGCTGACAGAGCGAGCCCAGATGGGCACTCCCTGACAGAGGTGCTCGGTGGAAATGGTTTCTCTAGCAGTAGGAGTGATTTCCATCACCTTCGTGTTTGAAATCACTCACCAAAATGAGGTATTTTCAGTTGTGCAATTCTTTATCACGTGGAGAGTGGTGGAGATGGGAAGGGCGGGGAATGAACAGAAACGAACCCTCAAAACTCCAGTTTCTTTCCCATTTAGTTTCAAATGTGAATTGCATATCCCAAACACAAATCAGGGAAAAACGGTTTTCCTTTTAAAGTCTTCCTTTAAGTAGGCCCAACACAGTGCAGTGGCATCCTTCAGCTGCGTGTGCCTGGGCTGGGTCGGGGCCATCCCTTACACCCAGCGGGGCCACAGGCCAGTGGGAAGGTCCCTGCTGTGGTCTGGGGAGTGGGGCTTCCCACGGGGGCTGCCCCAGCTGGGCTGGGTGCAGGAGGGTCCTGGGCTCTGCTGCCCTGCTGCTGCACACTTCTGTGTTTCAGTGCCACACTTACTTTTCCTCGCAAAGCAGCTTATGTGCCCGTGGTGAGCAAGGGGAAGGACAAGCAGCTGGCACTGGGGACGTGCCGAGCACTGAGGCCCTTGAGCAGCAGCAGAGTTTCCAGTGGTGCAGAGAAAACTGTCTCCCATTGCAAAGCATGCACCATGCTACCTGGTCCTGCATGACATATGATTACCCAATCCCTTGAAAGCCACGCTGAGGGGAAGTTTATGCGTTTTCAGCAAGGTAAGACTTGCTGACCAAATAATTGGCTTCTAATGGGTGCACAGCACGTGGCTTTGCTAAGCCTGTAGTTTTGGGACTATACTTGTCTGTAAATTATTGATACTGTGGTGTAAGGTTGAAGTTAAGGAGGAAGATTCTCATTTCACAGGATTTCTCTAGGGACCGCAGTACAGAAGGTGCCTGACTCCAGGGGAAGACACGGTGGGATGCTGTTCTGTGCACACTTGGAAACCGGCCTCGCACCGGCCGTGCCACTTGCTTGTGCTGCGCTTCCTCAGCCTCCGCTATCTGGGTTTGTGCGGGGGAAGATGCTGGAACAGCCTCAGCCCAGCTAAGGCAGTGTTCTTTGTGGGAATGATTTGCTGTGCTGGGAGGATTTCTTCAGTCTGCTGTCACCACAAGGAGTGAACTGATGTTCACTGAGCATTACTTACCACTTGACAATCACCTCCATTGTCTCTGTGATCAAAACAGCAGCACAGGGAAGTGTGGCTGTGAGTGGCAGGTACGTCTGAGGGGTTGTGCCAGGTATCTTCCACCCGCTGCTCTACCTGCCAAATCTAAATGCAATTTACTGTGATATGGACACAGTGTCATCCAGGAGGCACAGCATTCCCGATACATGCGCTACAGCTGGGAGATCTCGTCTGTGTCTACCTCTGTGCACATCCCAACACTCTGCAGACACAGGTGATGAAAAGGTAGAACAAAGGCAGGAGGAATCTTTCTCCTGAGTTCCCAACCAACCCAGACAGACAAATCAAAGTCAGCACTTGCTGTAGATCCAGGATACCCAAATATGCAGCCCTAAAAACATCACTGTGGGCCCCAGCAGCCCATGGGGTCTGCCTGCAGCCCCACATCCCCTTCCAGAGGCAACCCCCTGTGCTGGGCTGCAGCTGGGGGTGGCCTGGGAGCGGGTGGTCTCGGGAAGCAGGGGCAGCACCAGGAGATGGTGGCACCAGGTCAGGGCCTGGGCGGGAGCGGGAAACCTCAGCTCTGAGCGCTCCGCCTGCAGCTGGGTGTGGGGATGCCCCACGGCGGGCAGTCAGCCTCCAGCCCCGAGTGGGGTCTCAGGCAGCCTCACTGGGTGAGGGAAGGCTTTTGGGGGCCTGGCCCTCCTGGGGTCCATCCTGAGTGAGCCCTGCAGCCAGGGCTGAGCTCCCACAGGCAGCTGACTGCTGACCAGCAAACTGCTGCCAGGCTTTCTTATCTCCTGTCTGTTCATTGTTCCAGTGTCCTTGAGAGCAGAGGAGAGGGACTGTTAGAGCCCTGTGTGAAAATAAAGGGAGGTGGAACAAAGAGCTGGGCAGGATGGGCTGGCACTGCTCCTGCTGCAGGCACATCCTCCTCACCCCCCAGCCAGAGTCTCAGAGGGAGCAGCAGGGGCTGTGAAAAAGCAGCTGGGGAGCTCAGGGTGAGGTGCAGGGCTATTGGGAAGCTGAGTGCCTGGGAGAGGGATAATGGGAACAGTTTCCTCAGCAGCCTGTGCCTACCTCTGGCTGTAAATCACAAGTCAGCACCACACAGAAGGCCCCAGTGTGCTGGCTGCGTGCTCCTGTGCAGGAAACCCCCACATTTGGAGAGCTTGCTGAAAAATGGGCTGGAGGAGTGAGCACCAATTCCACTGGGAAAACTTGTTTTTTCTGGCTAATGCTTCCCGTTGCTAGCCCACACCAGTGAGTTCCACCCCAGTGAGCAGCAGCCAGCCACTGTGCTGCGCTGGGGATCGCAGAGCAGCAGCTCCGAGTGCGCCAGCCGCGAATGCCCAGCCCGAGCACGTGCACCAGCACCAACCCATCCGCTCCCCATAAATGGCAGCACTTCACCCACACCGACACTGGCAGAGCAGCGACTAGACAAAACTGTCCCTCTGAAATCTGCAGTTTAAATACAGAGGAAAAACTAGAACAGCAGAACAGAAACTGAACTGGATAAGGTAAGATTTACAGGGAAAACATTACTAAACTGAGCTGGTAAGGAAAGATTGACTCAGGAGCACAACAGAGACAAAGGCAGCAAGAGCAGCCTGTCCAATCAATCGGACCTGTCACTATGCAAAAACATCCCTATTTCAGAGCTGCATACAGCTGGAAAAGTCTAGCAGAAGGGGAATCTGACTCCCAAACCCCACTGCCTTCACCTACCACTCTCTGAGCCTTTGGGAGTCATCTCCTTATTTCAGGTACCTATGGGGGCTCTCTCCTGGCCAGCATGTTTCATCCACCACAGGAGCCCTAACTGTGAAAATAAATCACTCAAATGACAAATGCTAGGAAAGCTCCTAGGAAGAGCACTAGAAGACAGAGAATTGTGTTTTGGCAGCTTCTTCCTAATTTTGGGCGTGGGAGATGCCCAGACATCAGAAAGGGACATCTGTATTTCTTAGAGCTGAGCAAGAGCAAAGGAGTAAAGTAACTGTCCAAGCCAGGCTGCGGTCTTGTCGTGCAACTGGACATGAGCCTCCTCCTCGTTCCCACTGCAGCCATCCAAACGCCCGTAAATATGCCACACCACAGCGCCAGATGATGTGCAGCCTGCTCCAGGCCGCTGCCCTTCTGGCTGCTTTCCTGCCTTTGTGCTCCACTTCCCGAGCAGCCCCAGCCCGCCCGGCTTGCACCGCTCCAGGGCCAGCCCAGCCTGGAGCCACCCTGCAGGACAAGGCCACGTTCATGCAAAGCTCTTGCTGGCCTTGGTCAGCAGACTGCATTCGTGCAAGGAGCGGGACTGCTGTCACAAACAAAGCCCCTAGAAACGCTGGGGCTTGCTAATCCACCGGCTGGCCAGAGCCTTACATCAGATGCTGTCAGCAGTGCTGGGAGTGCCCTGCCCAAAGCAGGCATTGTGCCAGGTTTTGCTTGGCTTGGGAATACTGGAGTGACACAGAAACTTCCCCAGTACATGTTTTGATTATCCTTCAGGTGGTCTTTGCTTTCTGTTTGTGGGTGGATGTTTTTATTTTTCAGGGACTCTTTGTATCTTGGATTATTAGGGATGAGAACCAGTGAGGTGTGGATCTGACTGTGCTCTTCACACACAAAACTGCACTGAATTAGCAGTCTTGATGACAAGTGTGATACACAGGAGCTGGACAGAGATCTGGGTACTGAATTCATGGAGAGGGCTGCTGTCTGCTGGCAGATGCTTCACGAGCGGGAAGAGAGGCTGGAGCCATCGATCTGTCTACGCACCCTGCCTTATTTATCTGTCTTTAGTTATAGGACTAGAGCTCTACTCCTCCCTCTTGTCTGTGAGCCAGTCCATGCCTCATCTTCACTACATGCAGCCATTTCAGGGCTACGAGCAGAGATGTGTTTATTAAACCTCCCTGCAAGTGACATCAGTTACAATAAACGGGAAAAGTAAACGGTAAAAGTAACTCAGCAGGATGACACTTCAGCAAAACAGCCATTTCAAACGTGTCTCCAGAAAAGATGAGGCAGTTTGTTTGCTTGAAAGGACCGATCAGTCAGTCAGTCAGTCAGTGGTGGAAGGTGCAGGGCAGCGCGGCCGGGGGACGGCGGCTCTGCAGGGCTGCAGCCGCCGCACAAGCCACCCTGCGCCGCGCTCCCTGCCCCGGGACCGGCCCCAGCGCTGCCGCGGGGAGCGGCCCCTCGGCGGGGCCCCGGCGGGGCGGGCGGGGCGTCCCCCGGGACACCGGGCGGCGGGAGGGGCGCCCGCCGTCGCGCCGGGAGCGGGACGGGAAAGCGGCCCGCGGGCAGCACGGCCCCGCCTGCCGCGGCCCCGGCCCGTTCCGCCCCCCGCTCCGCCCCCCGGCCGCGCCCCGCGCCCCGGCTTTTCCCCGCCCGCCGCCGCCCCCCGCCCGCAGCCGCTCCCGCCGCTCCGCTCCGCTCCGCCATGTCCGCCGAGCCGGCCCCGGCCGCCGCCGCCGCCCCCGAGCCGGGCCCCGGCCCCGAGCCGCCGGCGGGCGGCGGGGAGGCGGCCGAGCACCGGGCGCTGGTGCTGACGGGCTTCGGCGGCTACGAGAAGGTGAAGGTGCAGGCGCGGCGCGGCGGCGCCCCGCGGCCCGGGGAGGTCTCGGTGCGCGTCCGCGCCTGCGGGCTCAACTTCGCCGACCTGATGGCGCGGCAGGGCCTGTACGACCGGCTGCCGCCGCCGCCCGTCTGCCCCGGCATGGAGTGCGCCGGCACCGTCCGCGCCGTCGGCGACGGCGTCCGCGACCGACAGGTGAGGGGCAGCGCGGTTCGGCCCGGCCCGGCCCGGCCCGGCCCCGGCGCGCTGCGGTGGTCCCGCCCGGCCGGCGCGGCCCCGCCCCGGCCCCTCCGCCGGGCTCCGAGCCCCGGCCGCTCGGGGGGGCCCGCCCGCTCCCCCGGCTGGGGTTCCCCGTCGGGGCGGGCCGGCCCCGGCAGAGCCGCGCTCCCCGCGCGGGACCGACCTGCGTGGTGCCGCCCGCGGGGGGCTCCGCCGCGGCCGGGCAGCAGACAAAGCCCCTGGACAAAGGGGCTGCGCGGGCAGTCGGGCCCCGGCGCGGCCCCGGCCTCCCGGGGCGGTGGCTGCCCTCCCCCCGTGGAATGCTGGCCCAGCCGCTCAGCTGCCCGCCCGCCCCGAGGGCCGGGGTCCCCGGGCTCTGGACCCGTGGGTGGAAAGCTGGAAGCGGCTGTGTTTCTTGGGGACTGCCAGGTGGTTTTGCGTGCCAGGTGGTGAGTGCTAGGAGGATGTTGGGCTGAAGCATGACTGTGCTGTTTCTGAACGCGTGTGTGACTCTCCTTTGAAACCCCGCGGACATGGAAGGGAACGGCTCCAGCTGCTGCAGGGCTGTCCAGAGCCATCCGAGGGTGTGAGCTGTGAGCACCAGCAGATTAGCTCCACTCGGTGCTGGGTCTGTGCCCTCGCTAGAAATGCAGCAGCCACAGGCTTGTCACTTGGGCTGCAGAGGAGTTGGCTCTGTGTATCCCAGAACTTTGGGTCCTAGGGCAGTTGCAATTACGGTGCTTTAAGATGATTCTCGGGTGTATAACCAGCAAAATAAAGTGTCTCAGAAAAGTAAACAAAACCCCCCAGTGTGTCAGAGATGATTCCCTCCCCTCCAGGAAAACATCTTGGTTTATTCAAGTGTAAATGCTAAACCCACACAGCAAGGAGCAGAGGAGACTTTTCTGCTCCAGGAGACTTTCTGCTCACTGTCTTAGCTCTGCCTCTTGTCTGCTTGCTGATACGACTGCTTGGCGTTTTGCTGTCTCCTTCCTGTTGTACTGCAAGCGGATATTTCTTGCCTAGTGGAATAAGAGCAGATTTTGGGGGATGTGTCAGACTTCAGGCCTGAGGCTTCGACCTGGGAGGCTTTCCTGGGGCTGGACGTGCTTTTTCCAGGGTTGATCGTGTTAAACGCTGCCCCAAGTCTCCTGCCTGTTGGCAGAATGATCCTTACAAGGGGCAGCAGTAATACTTCACAGTGTTCAGACTCCTGCTCCCAGCTTGGGCAGGGCTGGCAGGACATGGCCTCTATCCCTCTTACCTTGTTGGGGGTCTGTTTGGGCAGCTGGAGATCAGGCAGCGTGCTGGGTGCGAGCCAAAGCCTGGGGCGCTTGTGATCCCTCAGGCTCCGTGGTGAGAGGCGCAGCGGTGCGGTTTGCCTGATGCATGGAGCCCAGGCTGCAGGCTCCCGCCCAGCCCAGGAGTGCTGCAGTCCCTGCAGACCCACACAGAGAACAGGGCACGTGTGCCTGGCTCTGGCATGCAGAGGGCGAGGGTGTCATGACTTCTACTAGCATGGGGCTTGTTTCAGATCACCTTGTCCTTGGTTTGATTTTAGGTTGGTGATAAGGTGATGGTCCTGGCTAGGTCAGGGCTTTGGCAAGAAGTGGTGAATGTGCCAGCCAGTCAGACTTTCCTGATGCCTGAGGGGATGAGCTTTGAGGAAGCCGCTGCTCTTCTTGTCAACTACATCACTGCCTATATGATCCTGTTTGACTTCGGAAACCTGAGACCCAACCAGAGTGTCCTCATCCACATGGCTGCAGGTAAATAGTTCTTGCCAGGCAGTGCTGAGACTCTTGGCCTCGACGTGCAAGCTTCTGAATGGGTGGCACGGGTGAGGAAGCAATCAGAACTGGGCTGGACTGACAAAACATTGTCAGTCCAGCCAGAGATGCAGGCTTCACCTGGACCCAGCCGCTGGCAAATGCTGAACCCATTTCCCAGCAGCCAGGGTTGGTCTCCCCCGGCGTGTCACAAGCGTCAGCCTGCCCCAGGCAAAGCCTTTATTCCATACCCTCCCAGCGGTGTGTGATCAGTACAAACAGGGATAATTTACCTAACCAGAGGCTTTTCTGACTGCTGGGGCCGTTTGCTTCCAAGTCTTTCTCACTGCTGATTTTCAGGTGGTGTGGGAACTGCTGCCATCCAGCTGTGCAAAACTGTAGAGAATGTCACCATTTTTGGCACAGCATCTGCCTCCAAGCATGATTCACTCAAGGAGAGTGGAGTTGCTCACCCCATTGACTACAGAACGATGGATTATGCAGAGGAGGTCCGGAAAATCTCTCCCAAAGGTACTGTGTGGTGGAGGACTTCTACAACTGTCCTGCATTTCTCTCAAGTGCAAAGAAGCCTCTAGTTACTTTCAATTCCCTCTAGGTGTTGACATTGTCCTGGACCCCCTGGGAGGATCTGATACGTCCAAAGCATTTAACCTGTTAAAGCCAATGGGCAAACTCATCACTTACGGTAAGTGTGAGCAGCGTGCCCAAACCCCAGATCCTGGGTAGGGGGGACTGTGTGATGGCAGGGCGGGCATGGGAATGCTCCATGCTGCTCCGTGCCTGGACACACAGCTGTGAGGGAGCATCACTGTTGCTGTTTGCGTCGTAGTTCTGTTATTTCATGAAGACCTTCAGGATGCTTTGCCTGGGTGAGGCACGGAGGGGAGTGAGATTTGTGCCTTGTCCCAAGAGCTCTGGTCACAGGCTCCAAGGCTCCTCCCTCAGAAGGCAAGATCTCTCTTTGAGTACGAGCGGGTGCCTGCAGGGGAGGCTGGAATGTCCTCAGAGGAACACTGGCACAGCTGCTTTGTCCAGGCTGACTTAATGCATAGCACTAATAAAGCCTTGCTTTTCTTCTAGAGGATGTGTGGGTGATGAGGTTTGAGGCTACTGAATACTTATCTCTCCATTCCCCAGCCCTGAAACACTGTGATTTTTGTCCCGTAGACAAAGGCCTCACACAGCCCCCAGTGGGATTCCAGATACTTGCACCAGTGTGCTGCTTCTTTTGTCCCAGCCTGTTGCAGTGTGTGGCTCCCCTGAAGAAGCCTGGCTGTAGGAGAAGGGGAATGCTGTCCTGCCAGCCTGGCTGGATGTGACTTGTAACCTTCTCTTGCCTCTGCTAGCACTCCAGCATCCTGCTGTTGCCCTCCTAAGAGAGTTGTTCTGTATTTTTGCAATATATGGGCGTGATAATCTGAATTCTGCGTATCTTGAGGCCGAGGCAGGTACCTGTTTCCACTGAAGGTCGACTGGGCAAATCCTGATGTGATCCAGTTCTCACCTCTGTTCTCCATCACTGTGTGAGCGGCTGTTACCCTGCGTATTGTCTGAGCTGTTATATGGGATGCCCACTGCCTCTCCAGTTGTGTTGATTCCAGCTCATCTGTGGCTTGCCTTCTTTTTAGGGGTGGCAAACCTGCTCACTGGGCAGAAGAAGAACCTCATGGCTATGGCTAAAACCTGGTGGAACCAGTTCAGCATCAACGCCTTGCAGCTCCTACACCATAACAAGGCTGTGTGTGGCTACCACCTTGGATATATGGATGAAGAATTTGAGCTTGTTGGAGGTGTTGTAGCCAAGCTGGTTAACCTGTACAGTCAAGGCAAAATCAAGCCCAAAATAGACTCTGTATGGCCCTTTGATCAGGTGAGTCTGAGCTAACATATAGGCCGGCAGCACTCGGCAATTACTGGGCAATTGTCTTCTGCATGGTGAGCTCTGGTTCAGTGTAAGCACCTTGTTCACGGGGGCTGAACCGATGCAAATGTTTAATAACCATCTGTTCTCAGACATGCAGTGCCTTTTTCCTTCTAAGATATTAAGGGTGAGTAAAGTGGCTGGACTCTTCTGCTCTAGTGCACAGAGCTGGGCAATGCCAGACAGCATCCCTGTGGACCAGGGCAGGTGCTCAGCTGTGCTCTGTGGGCAGCACCAGCCCATGGAGGGACTGGGTTATGCATCAGACTGCAGACTGCGCTGAGTCTGCACCCTGTGATTAACCAGACAGCTGGGAAGATGGCTGCTGCCCTTCTACAAGTGGAAAAGAGCACAGGGAGTGAAGCAAAATGACGATGTTGGAAGGGAGTGGCAGCTTTTTCAGCAGCTCTGCTGCACTCAGTGTTGTTGCATCAGTGTATACAGGCAGAGTCAGGTTCTTCCCTTGGAAATCCTGTGCTGGGGTAGGACTTAGTGCAGGGGAGCAAAGGACTTGGTAATAATCTATCAGAGTTAGTACCGGAGAACTAGTGTGATGCAAGTGCTTAAGGAGAACTCTGTTGATTCCAGGCCTGGCTCAGGTGCTGTTTTGCTTAAAAATAATAATAATGGTATTTGTTCTGTGGTTATGTAGATGGTAGAAGCATTGTCCTTCTGGCTGTTGGCTGGATTTCTGCAGTGCTCCCCTCTATTTGGAAGGGAAGGCATGGTGGCATGCTCTTCACTCTTCCATGGTTTGCAGAGCATCATTTTGTATGTTACGGTTGTCCCGTGTGAATTCTTGAGGACAGTTGCCTACAGGCAGGCTGGGGTAGCTTCCCAACTCTGTCCAAAATGCATCTCTGCAGAGGCATCTGGATGCTTGGCACTTGCTTGGACTGCCAGGAAAGCTGCCTCCTGGGTGTCCCTCAGGCTATTCTGGGTGCACCAAGGGCCCGGGAAGGGCAGGACTGCACTGAGTGGTGGGTGTGAGTCTCATGAGATTCCTGTTGCTTCCAGGTGGCAGATGCCATGAGGCAGATGCAAGAGAAGAAGAATGTTGGAAAGGTCATCCTGGTTCCTGAAGCACCCAAGGAAGAATCCAAAAAAGAAGAGAACTAAGGAGAAAAGATGTGTGCAGATTGTGAAATCATGGTTTAACTCCCTGATCTCTTTGGGACCTGGAAATGGACAGATCAGTAGCTTCCATCTTCACCAGTACAAGAACATCGTGGTTAAAGTTCAGATGAGGTTTGCATGCTCTCATTGTGACTGACCCTTTGCCAGATATGCCTCCTGCCCTAGCTCTCTGTTTTGAAGCCTGTTTATTTTGTATGTTTTTCTAATCACTTGTTTCTCTACTGAATTTCCAAACTAACCTTAGTTTTCTCTGGCAGTGCAGCTGAAGCTCCCAGGCAGTTGCTGATTAACAACTGCATATAGCCTGTCACTGTAAAGTCAGGATACAACATACAGTATCAACTGCCAGGTATCTCCACAGAAAGTGAGGCCTGCTAGAGCATTTGTACTGTCACCTCTGAGAAGCTTGTTCAGCAGGAGAATGAGCCAAACTTGGGATATTTCCTCAACAGCTGGAGGAAAAGCACGGCTGGCATAGTTGAACTCTAGCTCAGGCTACATTTCTGTTTACACTAACCACCCCGCTCCCTCGCCTCCGCTTCTGTAGGCCTCTAACACCAGTCAGATAGTAACAGGTCATGTTGTCTTTGCCTTGTAAATAACCATCCTGGCATTTTGGAGTCTATGGCATATTGCACTTAATTCGCAGTCACTTCTCTGTGCAGTCGGCGAATAACCTGACTGGCTGGGCTGTGTCTGAATACAGAAGAAAAGTTTCAGCTGGGTATCTTGATCTTGTCCATTTTCTGATTCCAAAGTGTGTAGGGAGATCTAAACTGTGTCTGATTTTTAGAGACCATAAGGACTCAACTGTGTCTCAAACGACTGGAACAATTGATGTTGGCTGTGTGCTTCATTAATGTTGGGCTCCAAGCTGGTATTGTTAAGGCTAAACTTCACCCTCGTGTTTGTATTTCCAAGGGCTGCACTGCTGAATTGGACTTTAGCCAGATGGGAACAAAATAAGCCCCTGTTAATTGTAATGCTTGCTTTGTGCTGTGCCCTGTGCGCTGGGGAGGTGTTGCAGTTTGGGATGTAACTTGCAAGAAGCAATCCTGTAAACCTGCTTCCCAGGAGCCTGGGCTGGCTCTGTGTGTGGCACGCCACTCAGTAAAGCTATCACCAGGTTACCAGTGTAGATGGTAAACCGCTCAGTTCTGCATCAAGCCTCTTGGCCTGGGCATCTTGAGCAGTTTAAATTGTGCTTTCCATTCTCTTCTAGTTAGCTTGTTAGATACCCACTCAAACCAGCTCTTACCTCGTCAGTCAGTGCTGCAGTAGGGCTTGACTCTCCTTCCCCTGAAACTGCAAGTCTTGGGACCCTTGGGCTTTCTTCTAGCACTGAGGGTTTAGGAGCTACCTGGGTTGCTCCTCCCAGACCAGAACTCGTTTTTTCTTCCTCTTTTCTTCTGTGCATTGGGAAACGTAGCTGTGTAGAGACCCAAGCCTAGTTCTGTGAGCACTTAATGTCCTGGTTGGTGCCTCCCCTTCCTGCTGGACCCTGTTTTCAGGCCTGAGTGACTGTGGTGCTGTTTGTGCTTGCTTTGAGGCTTTGTCACAGACTGTAGGTGCTGTGGGCTTTTAGGCTTCATTTTGGATTTGAAAATGTAAACCTGAGGGTGCCAAGAAGAGCTGCCCATCATGGAAGAGCTCAGGCTCCAGGAGCAAAACCTTGCGACTAGGAGTCCTGCTTAACCAAACCCCGAGGAGGAGAAGCACCTGCCGGGCAAAGCCCCTCCGCTGCTCGAAAGCAGCCAAGCACTGTGCAGGGCTGGGGATTCCCGTGGAGGTGAGGAGTGTGGCTTCTTCCTCTGCCAGTTCTGTTCTCCGGTGGGGCAGCTTGTAATTCAGGTCCTTGGGCTCAGTCCTTAGTTCTGCCGCCTTCTAGAAGCGCGTAGGCACAGCCTCTGCGGGACTTGCCCTGGCTGCCTTTAAGTATTAAAACAAGCCCCTTCCTTAAGACCTCAGAGGAGGGCTGGAGCCCTGTCACAGATCCTTGTCAGTCCACCTCCTGCACTTGATAGGTGAACTTCATAAACATGGTCTGATGAAACTCACAAGCACAACTTTTAACCTTTCTGAATACAAAATCTTGCTGCTTCTCCTTTCAACCTACCCTGTCATGCTAATTTAGATTAAATCCAACAGTGTCTAATGCTGCTTTACCAGGTCTGGCAACAGAAGGACTGTCTAAATTGATGAAATGGGAAGTCTGGACCTGTTCCTCCGAGAAACTGGACTTCACCTTGATGAAAGAGCAGCGTGCTCACACGGCACACAACCCTGCACATCGTCAGGTTCTGCACACTTGTAAAGGGGAAAACTATCAAATTGTGTGTCAGAGTAACATCCTCTCCTTGCTTTACTCTCGGCCGCGCGCGTGCTCAGTGCCTTACTTGGATGGCCTTGGATCAGGCAGCGCAGCGAGGCTCTCGCAGTCTGTCCCTCGCGGTGCAGTGTGGAGGAAAGCGGGAGTCTTGCAGCTCCCCGTAGGACACCTCTGATGTGCTGCCTTGTGGTACGCCACAGAAAACAGTATCTCAGTGCCTTCTTCTGCATGCCTCTAAGGACTAGGAAGTCACTGGAGCCCTTTCCATTCTGGCCTTTCAAAGTATTGCCAAAAACCTGTTATAACTCTTGCTAGCTCTGTTTTGTGAACACTGGTGGTGTAGTCTGTGAATGACATACCCTTTCCATGTACTACAGCCTTTCCAGGGCTGTCCTGGTGGCTCTGTGCTCCGCAGTCCAGAAGAGCTACTGTAGAGCCCTTGTCTCCCCCAGGGCAGCTGTTTGGCTCCGGCCAGTCCTTGAGTGAGGCTTTATCTGCTGTGCCAGCCTTGGCTCTCCGGAAACAATCCCAGCCCCTGCCTCTCTTCAGGCAGCCGCTCATGTATCTTCTACCTACAAATTCCTGAAGCCCTTATCAGGGCACGAGTGCTAAGCAGTTACTCTCTGTTAGAGTTTAGCACTGACTGTTTTATGTCCTGTGGTAGCAATGACGTTTTCTACAGAAAGGCCAAGATTAAATGTAACCTTGCTCTCTGCTGCCTCACTGGCCAATGCTCTGCTCTAGGTGGTTGTAGTTGTTGGTTTTGTTTTTTTCCTTTTTTTTTTTTTTTTTTTTTTTTTAACAGACAAACATTTTATGGGCCAATAAGTATAGAACCAATGTAAAACAACTTCCAAGTGTCTTTAACTCCATGAGGTTAACCAGCAGGTTTGTATACTAAGGACCAAAGCAAAAAACAAACAAAAACCCTAGGATAAAAATCATTCCACTCAATGTTGCTTGACTGTTTAGGGCAAAGTTGTGCTATTAGGGAAATGGGAGATTACTGTGCTTAAATTGCCTGTGCCATTCCAGCTATCAGAAGTGCAATGTAATGTTTATTTTACTGATTGTCTGACCCAAAGGTTATGCTGTGCAGAGTCCAAGTGGAAAGCGTAAATTCGTGAGCAGAGGAGAGCCCAGCCCACTGCTGGGGGGGGGGCTGCTCAGCACAGGGATGCCTGTGTGAGTGCCACACCTGCGTCATTACTGCAGTCACCTTCCCAGACTGGTACTACTGGTCTTGGACAAAATGCAACTCCTCTGCGATCACCAGGCAGCTGTTGTCACGTTTTTGACTCTGGTTTCTCTGGAGCTCACTTGTGTTTCGTGCTAACCGCAGAAAGGGAAGGGAGTGGCAGCAGCCTCAGCTTGTGCAGAGGAGCACAACCCCTGCCAAGTACTTTGAGACAGGGGCAGGAGTTTAGCTGTACATTTCATTTTGGACACCTGTATTAAACTAGAATTGAATGACCAGGGAGAAGCAAGAAACATTGTGGGCCTCAGGCTTTAATTGGTGCAGGATCCTGGCCCACTTACAGCTGCTATCATAGGTGTAAAACCACTCTTGTTGCCTAGTGAAGTCTAGCGTGTTAAGCCCTGGTGATGGCAAAGTGCGACTGGCAAGTAGCATTTGAGCGTGATGTGAAATGCATTAGACTCTGAGCCTTTTACAACATATGGTCTGGTCTGTACTGTCTGAGTTGTGTTGATTTGCTGGTATGTGATATGAGTGATACTCATCCTACAGACATGGAAAATCTTTGTTTAAAAAAATATATTCTGCTTTGTGCGTGTAATCAAGTTGGACAGGAAGCAAACGTGCCAATGCTGTTTACATGACTATACTGTGTAATGCTCCTCTGTCTAATGTTACCATATGCCTTATGTGTTTCAAATGTTAATTAAAAGCATAACAAAACCCTCAGTGGCATGCTGCTCAATCATCTGTTGGAATGAACACCTCTGCCTGCAGCTCAGCTGCCGAGACACTTTTATTGCTTCTCCAGGCAGTCAGGGGCTGGACACATTCAGTTTGTAAGTTCTAACTCTCACAGGATGAGATGATGACTCTGCTCGCAAGGCCAACTGCTGATTGTTGCCTTGATCTACTGCCCTATTCTGGAGGGCAGCTATGAAGAATTTTGTTTGCAAAGCCCTCAGCTGGCCTCTGCAAGTCACTCGGTGTCTGGGTGGCTGTAGCCAGTCGAGATTGAAATGGGTGCCTGGGGTGATGGTAAGACAAGGCATGAACAACCACTGCTAAAAACATGGGGAAAAAGTCTTGTTTATTTGTGTTTCTCCCCTGAGAATATACAGGCAGGGACAGTTTCTCAGGGGAGGTGGCTGTCCTGGGCCCTGAAAGCTGTTAATGCTCTCCCCAAGAGATCATCAGGTTGCCTGCTGGCCCCAGAGCTGGGGCTGCAGCTGGGGGCTGTCTGCTCAAGGACAGAAATGTCTGAGTGAACAGCTGAAATTAACGGCAGCTCAACTCTGGCACAGGCTCTGGGGGTGGCTGGGCTGGAACCTGCCTGTAGTGGCTGGAGGTGGAAGAGCCTTCCAGAAGCTGGAGCTGGACTACATGCAGGTTTGCCCAGGTTTGGGTTACGCTGCTGAAAGCCACACCAGCGCTCAGCCTGGAGCCGGTGTTGAAACAAGCTGTGTCACTGGCTGGTGAGGACATACATCCAGGAGGAGCTGGAGTTCCAGGGAAGCTGTGATCTATGCTGGGGGTTGCAGGTGGGGTGGGGAGGGAGGTGCTACTGTCACTAAAGTGCAGACTTCTGGCTATCTCTGGGAGTACAGGAGCTCCTTGGACAAACACCTGCTTTTTCTTGAGCTGTCTGTGTTAAGCTGCAGTTTTGTCAGCTGGAAGGGAAGGTGAAGCAAAGGCATGGGCTGCGGCTGCTCAGGCAGGGAGTCTCACGCAATGCCCAGTTTCTTCAGTACAGTGCAAACCTCACGGAGATACTGGGCGTCTGGATAGCCGTTCCTGTGGGGCAGAGAGGGAAGTGGAGTAAGCCCTGCTGCTGGTGCTAAAACCACTGAGGGGAGCAGCAGTTTAATTTTGCCCCATTCCTTCAACAGGGGCTGAGGGTGGAAGTCCTGCTGCCAGGCAGCTGCTGCTGCCCACAGGCACAGCTTGCACCCAGAGCTGGCTGCAGAGCGCTGGCACAGGAAAAGGCAAGAAAGCTGTAAGTGAAGAGGGCCCAGAATTCTTGTTCATGGGGAGCTTATGGGGGTGGGGTTGAAAAGGGCTCTAGCTCCAGCTGGAGGGTGCCAGGGCTGGTCTGCCACACCACAGCTGCCCTGTGAATTGAAGCAAAGGGAGGCACCAACTCAGTCACTGTGGGAGCCTGGAAGAGCTACCCATGCCAGGATTTGGTGAGCTGACGCCCATGTTTCTCCTCCTCCAATTGCTAAAAAACCCCACACCTGGAAGCTTGGGAAAAGCTGGGCCATACCTGGCTTTGCCTCCATCCCAGGAGGTTTTGTGTGGGATAAGGCCCCATGTCACTCTTTCCTCTCCATTGCAGGACTTGATCTGGAAGGTTAGCCCATGCTCAAATGCTTTCTTCAGCAGCATTGCCATCTTCTGCCCTTCCCTGTTGTCAGGCAGGAAAGCATAGAAATTCCCTCCTTTGTAAGGCTGTCCTGGACGGGGGTCGCCAACCTTAGAGCAGGAAAAAAGCGTTTTAAACAACCACCTGAGTGCTGTTTCTCAGAGCTGGCTTCTGAGATTTTGTCCAGCCTGAAAACACACAGACGACTATGGCCCGCATGGGCTGGTAGTCACTTTGAGCTAAAAACAGAGGTCACATACTCTTCTAAAGCAGCAGGCTGCTCCCGAGCCTGGTGTGGAGCTTTTTGCCTTCCACAGGTCGATACCTCTGTTGCTTTGCATGTGGGGCATGGAGCTGTAGCTGCCTTCCCCACCACACACACGCACACTCCCCCAGCCACGCTGACAGAACCTATTGCGTATCCTGTAGCAGAATGGGGAAGCCCCCATGGTCAGTACCTACCCCTTGCACGCCATCAGGGACGTTATAGGCAACCTGGAGCGTTGGGTCTCGATAGTAGCCAGGCAGACTCTGAGACAGGCATGAGAGCTTGAATGTCCCTGAGATCCTGCAGCCTGGGGCAACGGAGGAGGAGCTGCAGCAAGCTGGCTGCCCACTGTCCACTGCGAAGCATGTCCTGCACAAGGCGTGACCGCAGGGGGCCTGGCAGGTCACACCTGAGCCCTGGCAGGCATCGCACCGGCCCAGAGGTGTCTTGCTGCTTTCCTGTCCAAGGCTGGGGCCTCTTGTCTGCCGTGACGAGAGGGCGGGCTGCCCCTGCACACTGCTCCTGCCCGCTGGGAGCAGGGCCCCTTCCCGGCCCCCGGGCTCTGCTGCAGGTGACTGTTGGGCTGCAGCCTCGGGTGGCTCGGCGGCCGCAGCCCTGTACAGCCAGGCGGGCAGGGAGTGAGGAGCCCCGTCTGCTGCAGACACGGGTGAGCGCAGCTGTCCCACCGCTTCCTTCTGGCCTCCCCGGCTCTTGTCTCTTGCGAACTGGAATCTGTCCACCAAAACCTGCTTCAGCCGTGCAATGTCAGGCTCCTCTGCAGACAATTTTGTCTTCGGCTGTTCCAGGGACTCCCTCAGACCAGCAGGACTTGGCTTATCCACTACGCCAGGGCTCTGAAGGCTGCTTCTTCCTTGCACAGCCCCAAAATCAGCATGGCCATTGTCCTCCTCCTGCCCCAGTGCCTGCTGGAACCTCCAAGAACTGGCGGACCTCTTTTCCTCAGCCTCTGGCAGCTGGAGAGCCCTGAGCGCATCCACGTGGTCTGCTTTGTCATTAATGTTCAGGTGCTGGAGGCCCATGTGTAGGGAATCCAGGCTGCTGGGAAGGGCAGCACCCAGAACCGTGTCCTGGCTTCTGCTTGGCTGGATCACACTTGAGTGCCCTGTACTCTCTTGTCCTGGAGACAAAGATGAAGACTTCAGGGCATGGAGCCTCTTGGAAGAAAACACGTGGAAAGCCTCAGTCACTCCTGGCAGCATCTCCTTGGGGCAGGCAAGATATAGCTTGTACTTGTCTTTGGTGAGTCCAACCTGGAGGGAGTTTCCTTGCAAGAGGCTGCACAGTTCACTCAGGGCACTGTCATCTGGACCATCTAGAGCAAGCTCCGAGTAGCTCATACTCTGACACACAAGGTCAGGACACTTTTGCACAAGAGCTTCCACCTTCCATTTAGCCTGGAAAAGCTTGCCCCTGTCTGCCGTCTGTAGAGTCAGCACAGTGCAGTCCCCAGTACGATGCTCTGAGATCTGCACACCTCCATCCCTGCACAGGTCATCAATAGCAGCGTGACAAACGTCTTTCAGGTAAGACCACTGCAGAGAGTCCAGGTTCATTTCTTCACTCACCCTCCTGCCTCCACCGCCTGCCCTGACACTGTCTTGGGGCTTATCGCTTTCCTTTGACCTTGGCAGGGAAAAGCTGTTGGAACGTCGCAGCAGAGGCCTGGATTCAGAGGGTTTAGTGTCTAAAGCAGAAGAGGTGCTTGTCACGTCAAAGGTACTAGATATGCTAGTGAGGGGGCGGTGCTTGATGGGACCTGAGCCTTTAGAGTCCCCAGGATGCTGCGAAGTGCTATTCTCTTTGCCCCCAAAGGGAGACAGAGCCTTGTGTTTTATAAGCCTGGCACCTCCTTTCACACGGTGCCATGCTTTGGGGTCCTTCTGCTGAGACTCTGCTGCTGACTCCAAAACCACATCTGTTCTAGAGTCATGAGGCTGGAACTGCTGGGTTGGTGCTGTTGGGTCACTTGGACCACTCAGGCCCCGGCTGGCCTGAGACCTCTCAGCTTTCAGTGTGCTGAAGCTGGCAGCTAGCTTGAGCTCACCTTTCAGCTCCGGCCTGCCTGGGCTGAGCCTTGAGGCTGAAGTGTCCACAGGTGCCTTGGGCTTGTGCAGTGCAGCCTCTGTGGGACAGGAGGTTGCTGGGCGTGAGAGCAGGGAGCTGCTGAACATGCCAACTGCGTGCGCAGCACCTCTGGTGCTGAAATCCTGAAGGTATTGCTTGGCCTGGGACACATCAACGAGGTTTCCAATAAGACAAAGCTGCTTCTCGTCCTCATGGCAGAGCAACTGGGGATACAGTTTCTTCAGCTCACGTGTCAGAGCCCCGAGTGCCTGGCTGTCCATATCCAGTCCTTCCTTGGCGATATTCTCCTTGCGCAAGCTCACCTCCAGGTGCTGGTAAAGCTGCTGCAGGGCCAGACGGGCCTGTCGCAAGGCGTCCATGTCCCCAGACACACCTACAGCTGGCTGGAGGTACAGTATAGCGATGCCATCGCTGCTAACATCCACCACATCCACACGATGCTGGTGTAGCACACCTTGGTACTCGGTGGCACAGAACCTCTGCATGTACAAGTAAATGTCCGAGTCCATCACTAGGGAAAAGTCCTCCAGCTGTTCCACAGCTTCCCCATCCACTGGGCCCCGAGGTGATGGGACTTCAGCTGCCTTTTCACTTGCCTGGTCCCAGTTCTGCAGCTTTGCTGTCTCTCGTGCTGACTGAGCAGAGTCAAGTGCTTGCTGGTGACCGTGCGTTCTGGTCTCTTTGGCCACGTGGCTGGAACCTGGCAGGAGGATCTCTCCAGCAGCTTGGCTCTCGAGGTTCAGGCTGCCCAGCAGGTCTCTGCTGAAGGCCTGCAGCTCCGTGAATGGTCCCTTGACTATGCAGTGTGTGTTCTTGGAGTCAAAGTCAAACTGCACATTGCTGTAGCCTTTATGCAAGTTCCTCAGGAGGGTTTTTTCCAGCAGGAAGCTTGCCATAGTCAACTATCATGCAAACACGTATGAAGATCTGCAAGTAGAGAGCAAGAGAGTGAGAGCAAGGAACAAAAATAAGCCCCCTCCAAGGCACAGGGGGAAGCAAATGCACCTGCCACCTGCCACAGCCCCTGCATTATTATGACAGGAGAGACCACAAGTTCCACCACCTCTCTCAGCATTCTGCTTTCAAATGAGATGGGAGCATAATGCAGGCAGGACTGAAAGACCCAGCCAGCCCAAGCAACTCTTGGACCTTGTACACATACTCAAAAGCTTTTTGCAAACAAGGAATGCAAGGAGCAAACTGCACAGAGATGCTGTCCCACTTCTACATTCCATGAGCTCTGCGAGCAGCCCAAACCCAAGAAATCCACTATTCCTTCTGCATATGAAATGCAGTTGCACTCTTACCCTCCCAGAGCTTCAGCTGTAGAACTTCAAGCAGTCTGGCACCACAGGCTTGCAGAAAGGTCTGCAATGCCGGGCTAACTCCCGTGCGTGCCCTTGTTTTCGGTGCTGAGACATGAAAGCAGGAGATGTAGCTACTGCCCCACTCTCCTGAAACAGGAAGAGGCAAGAACTCTCCAGTGCCTCCTAGACACCAGCAGGTCTGTCTCCTAAGCTCTCCTGAGAAGAAGCGTGTCCAGATAATGAGACGGAGTCCAGCTAACACCATGGCAGAGGCATTAACAGGATCCCCGCCATGTCACCAGACGGGCTGGGGAAAAGTGCCCCTTCCCTCCAGTCTGACTAGTCTTCCTCGCCTTAACAGGCACAAATACTGAGCAGCTGAGCGCACAGCTGGCCTGGCTGTCCCTGTGTTATTAGCACGCACACAAAAATATATTCCTCGTTTGAATGTGAATACAACCGGGTTTGCTTTAAGTCTACTAAAGGTTAAAGGAGAGCGCGAGGTCGCCCTTCCCACGCGTCTGCCAGGCCCAGAGCAGCTCCAGGAGCCGGCTGCTCGCCGTCACCTCGTCAGGGCTCGGCTCCGCGGCGTGCGCCGTCACGTCCAGCGGGTATTCCTTCCCTCCGATCGACAGCACGTGGTTCTTCGCCTTCAGGATCCTCTGGGCCACTGGGTGGGAAAAGCCGTCGGGCACCGCGTCAGCCCCGCCAGGTGCCCGGGAGCAGCAGCTCCGTCCCTGCCCCGCGGACACAGGGACGGGGGGGCGAGACAGGGGGACGCGGAGACAGGGTGGACGTGGGGGGCGAGACACGGGAACACGGCAAAGCCCAGGGGCCCGGCTGCAAGCGCGGCCCTTCGGGGCCCCCGCGGCCGTTACCTTCCAGCGCCTCGAAGGTGATGAGGGCGCAGGCCGGGGGGCCGGCCAGCACCCGGAGGTCGGCGATCTCCCCGCCGCCGTTGCGGGAGCGCAGGAAGTGGATGGTCAGCTTGTCGGCCACCCTGTCGGGGGGCAGGTCGGCGGGGAGGCCGCCCACCCGCACCGTGCGGCCCGCCATGCCCGCGCGGGGAGGCCGCGGGCCCGGGGAGCCCCGGCGGCAGCTGCCCCCGCCCGCCCCGCCCGCCGGGCCCCGCGCCCGCCCCGCCACCCCCGGCCCGGCCGCGGCCCCGCGGCAGCTCCCGGGCTCCCCCCGCCGCGCCCCGCGCCCCGCGCCCCGCTCCGGCCCCGCCGCCGGGAAACGAAAGCGAAAGCGGGGCGGCCCCGCCCCGGCCGGCCCCGCCCCGGGCCCCGCTCGGCGGGGCAGCGCCCGGCCCGCTCCCTCGCCCCGTCCCACCCCCAGCACGACAGACACGGCGCTCCCTGCAGACGCTTTAATTCCCGCTGTGACCGGCGGCCCCGCCGAGCTCCGCTGCGCCAGGGCTAGCCCGTGTCCTCCGTGAAAACGGCCACCCCTCGGCGTCCCCCCGGGACGTAGGCGAGGCTGTCCACCTCTCCCCCGCCGCGGCTGGCCTTCTGGAAGTGGATCTCCAGGGCGTCCCTCATGGGCTCCTCACCCAGCACGTCCGGGATCCCCGAGAGCAGGACGGTCCTGGGGCAGCGGGCGGGCTGGAACTGGGCAGAGCTGGTGGTGAGGCGCAGGGAGGGGGTCCCCGCACTGCTCCGATCGGGGCTGCCCGCAGGAACCACAGCCCGGGCTGTGGGTCTTCGGGACGCCCCTCCCCTGCTCCTCGCCCTGGGCGGGCAGGAGCTGCGTGGCACCGGGGCCGGTGCCCTCACCTGCAGGCTCGTGAGGTCCCCAGTCATGCACGGGGATATCTTGAGCTTGTAGTTTCCCTTCCCGATGTGCACCTGGATATGCCCTCTCGCAATTAGCGGCTCTGCCACTGCAGATGGAGAGGAACGCCCTGAGCATCCCAGCATGAGCTCTGGGGGAGGTTACGTCCCTGACACAGACACCAAGGCTGGCGCTGCCCAGCCCCAGCTCACCTGCACCAGCACAGTCTCAGGGGAGACAGGACAGCCTGGGCTCACTCTGCCTTCCCTGTTCCCCACAGACACAGCTCCATCTGCTCTCGGAGACGACTTGTGCCTGCCTCGGGCAGCCCCCCCCCCTTGCTGGCAGCCTGAGCTCCACACGCCCCACGCACCTCCGTCCTGCACGAAGGTCAGCACCACCTGGCCAGTGTCATCCAGGAACTCCCTGCTCTCCACCTCGCCACCCCCGTTCTTCGTCTTGCTGAAGAAGAGCTCCAGCTTGTCCAGCAGTGCCTCCTCAGGGATGCCCAGGCTGGGCAGGTCAGACACAAGGATGCTCCTGCTGCTCTGGGTCAGCCTAATCTGTGGGTGGCACAGGCTGGTCAGTGCCAGGGCAGGGCCAGCCCCAGAGCTTGGGGGAGCAGCGCAGAGCTGCAGCACTAATGTGCAGAGCTGGGCAGGTACCGGTGACCCGGCGGAGACAAGCCTGGGTAGCGGCAGAGCAGGGCACAGCAAAGCTGGTGCGTGCCCAGGGCAGCTTGGCGGTTCTCCACAGTTTGGGGAGCAGCAGGCCCTCGGGACCTACCTCCAAGGCAGACGGCAGCAGTATCTCCACCGGCGCTGCCTGCACTCGCGCTCTGCACCGGTCGAGCTCCTCCAGCTCCTCCCCATAGCTCAGCTCCACCGTGTGCTCCTTCACCTCTAGGATCTGCTGGGCCACTGCAAGCAGGGAGAGCCCCCAGCACAGGGGATTGACAGCCTGCTCCGAGCACACTGCAGGACAGGACACGGGGCAGCTAATGCTTTCGGGAGGGGGCATAACCCCGCACAATGCCAGCAGAGGGGACGGAGCTCCAAGTCCTGGCCCAGGGAGGGGATGCAGGGCAGGCCCCAAAGCCACTCAGCCAGGATGCCTGGCTGTGGCAGAGTCCTTCTCACTCTTACCCTCTGCCTTCTCAAAGGTGATGAGAGCTGAGCCCCCCAGCAGAGGGTAGCGGATCAGAGGGGTGAGCATCAGTTTGTTCATGGTCTCCTTGTTTGTCACGAGTCCCTTAAACACCATTTTCTTCTCCGGCAAGGCAGGCAGCATCTAGGTTCAAGTACACAGACAGCGCCTGGAGGAGACTGGACCCCACACAGAGCCTGTCCCTGCCAATCCACAGAGAAAAAACAAGTTCATGGCTCAAAATAAACAGCTGGAAAGCCTCAGCAGAGTCTCTCCTAGGGTCTGGCTGTGCCTGGAGTCCCAAAGCCATAACTGGAGCTTCTGGCCCTGGCAGAGGAGCCCCCCGCTAGCAGGAGCTGTGCCAGTCATCACACAGTGCCCAGCTGCATTCACCTGCAGCCTCTCAGCCAGGCTCGTGCTCCTTATCAGCACACCTAAGTGCCCCCACACACTCTGTTACCATCAGTGGATCCTCCCAGGGGATGCTCTTCCTCACTTGTTCCAGTTTCTCTTTCAGCACCTGTTTCTCCTGCTCCAGTCTGTTCTTCTCCTCCTTTGCTGAAAAAATGCCCACCTGGAAGGAAAGGAAGAGGGGAACCACCAGGACATGACGGGCTGCAGAACAGCACTATTCTTGGACACAGCTCCACCCACACCATTTTTCTGTTCTTGACTGCCTGCAGCCCTGCCCTGGCTCCCCAGCCCTTCCTCCACCGCCGCAGCATCAACACAGGCCTGATGTGACATCCCATGAAACTGCCCCTGGTCCAGAGCAAAGCAATCTCAAAGCAGTGAGCTGAGTGATGCAGCCCCACCACCCACTGCCACCCTTCCAAGCCCAAGACAAGTCCTCCGACCACCAACCTGGCAGGATCTCTCTTCATCTCTGTTTAAATACATTTGTTGCTCAAGATTTTTATGAAGAAGTTCTCTCTCTTTCCTCAACTCTTGTGTCCTTTGCTCTACAGCTTCCTTGGCCATTTGTAGCTTCACATGGTCTTGCTCCAGAGCGCTACAAAGTTCCTGTGAGAGGCACCATGAGACAGAGAGATGCTACAGACATTGTGCCACCCCCACTGGCTGTCCAGCCCCAGCACATGCTGCTCGTTTGGGAAGGAGGGGGGCTGCTCCCCATGCAGAGCCCCAGACCCCGGTACAGGCTCTCTTAACCGTGGGATACCCCTTCTCTGCCACTCCTGGCTCATAGTCCAAGAAAAAATAAGAAACTCATGCTCGCAGCCCAGGCTGGCTGGGGCAGATCCCAAGGTGGTTTGGATTGGACCCGATCCACTTCTCAGGGATGCGGTGGGACACACCTTGCAACGCTCGATCTCCTGCCGGACTTGCTCGGGGGTCCCCTCCGGGCAGCCGTCCTCCGGGCCCCCGGAGTGGGGCAGCCGGATGAAAGAGTCCTAAAAGCAGGGGGGGGTCCTCAGCCACGCTGCGCCAAGTGCCGCCCCGCTCCCCTCGCCCCCGGTCCTCAGCCCCTCACCTCCGAATCCATCGTCGCGGCGCTGGCGGCAGAACGGCGGCAGGTCAGGCGGGGGGCCGAGCACCGGGGCCGCGGGGGGGGAGCCGGGCCGAGCTCCGGGGCCGCCGGGGGGGAGCCGGGCCGAGCTCCGGGGCCGCCGGGGGGGAGCCGGGCCGAGCTCCGGGGCAGCCGGGGGGGAGCCGGGCCGAGCTCCGGGGCCGCCGGGGGGGAGCCGGGCCGAGCTCCGGGGCCGCCGGGGGGGAGCCGGGCCGAGCTCCGGGGCCGCCCTACTCACCCGCCGGGACCGCGCTGCCGGTGCGGCCCCGCTCCTCCTCCGCCCTTCCCTTTCGGTTTCGTTTCCGCGGCCCGGCCCCGCCCCGGCCCCCGAAAGCGGCAGCGGCCGCAGCTCGACGGCCCCGCGGCGGGAGCTGCAGCCCGGTCCGGCGCCGCGCCGGCCCGCGGGCGCTGCTGACCCGAAAACCTGATCTTTCCACTCATTCCCCACTGCCCCGCGGGGACGCCAGCGCCTGCCCAACCGCCTCGAACTCGCTTCCCCAAAGCACCCCAACCCTCCTCAGCCAGGAAATAACTCTTTCCCCTCCTGCCCCGTGCATCCGATTTACCACTCTAACCCTTCTTCTGCCAGGGAAGCCTGTCACTTGCACAATAAAGAACATTTGGAAAGGTAAGCAAAAATTTAACAGCCCCAGGTAGGTCCCTGGATGAGGCACTGTATTTCTCAGCCTGAGAACAGCAGACACCTGGAATGAACAATTCCTTTGTCGTCTCCCACCCCCCTTCTCTCATAGGGATCACCACAGAGATTTCTAGCAGAGGCAGGAGTGACAGAAATCACCCTTTGGCATCATGATGGGGAAAGAGCAGCCTTGGCCCCGCGGCAGAGCAGGAGGCACCCAAGGACAGTCCCACAGAGGCGGTACCTTCACTCACGGTGCAGGCCATACAACACTCCAGAGAAGCTTCAAAGCTCTGGACTGCAATGGTTTTCCCAGCTCTTTCAGACAGAGCAAGAACATCCACACCACAGAGAAAAAGGCCTAGCGCTGCTTTTTTAATACAACAGAACAAAGTGTTTTTTAATAAACATTTATTGATGCAACCTTGTTACACCTTTAGAATCGCAGCTTCTGGAAGAACCACTTATTCTTGCCAGTCTTATATCTGAAAGAGGAGGAACACAAAGGTTAGAGAACGCTCTGTAGCAGTAGACAACAGCACAAGACCCGCACCTGAGCCAACTGTATCTTCTCCCCACAGGCAGGACACTGCGCCCAGCTTACCCACAGGTAATTCAGCAGGTCTCTTCAGCCTGGGCGGCAACTAGACCCACTTTAAACATTTAAACTCCCGAGGGAAGCGAATGCCAGCTTCCAGATTTTCTCATTAAGCCATCTCACAAAGGACACCTGCACTACAGCAGTTTCCACCCCAAGAGCTAAGAGAGCAGCATGTGGCAGTCCCATTAGAGATCTCATGTGGAGCGCAGCCATCAGGAGGTGCCCTCGGAGAACTGCCTATGGTCATGGCAGAGCGCTTTAGAACAGCCACCACCCCAGGCTGCCTGCCTGGCACCCTGTGTCCCGCTGAGGCCACACAGCTCCTTCCACTGAAGGAGTTTCTGAACAGAAAATTGAAAAGAAGGACCATTAACCCAGACACTTCTGGGCAAAGCATCAGTGCTGCTCTGTCCCACTAAGCCCAGTGACAGACAGCAGATGAACTGGCAGTGAGATGCCAAGAGATCATCCAGCATTTGAAAATCCCCACTCCTGTGGCACGAGGCTACAGCACCATCACAAATGTCAGCCCAAGTCTATGGCTGTTGGTAAACTGATCCCCCTCTCAAACCATCAGCTCCCTGAACATACAGTTGTGTAAACACGCACAGGAGGTGAGAAGGAACACACTCAACCAAAAACGTATTCAAGAAAGTTGAGGAAAAGTGTCCAACCTGGGAATCAGCCAGGCTGTGGCACAACGGCGCCAAGTCCTGGCCCTGGGTGCCAACACCCCTGGAGAAACAAGCTTTCAACTCACCTCTCCTCAAATTTCACCTTGGCTTCACGTCTCGCTTTGCGTTTTAGAGCGGGATCCCTGAACACATCCTTATTGACCACTGTTTTGTCCAGCGGAATATCAACAGAATACCTGGGTGAGAGAGCAGCAAGGTTCAAAAGAGTCACGGGGACGAGAGCACAGCGGGTAGCCTGGACTGGGCAAATGCACGAACTAGGGCCAGGTTGAGGAACTACAGCTCTTAAAGGCTTCTCAGTTCAGGAAGTCACCAAACCATTACAGCATCCAAAGGCATTTAATCCAGCCTGTAAAGAAACAAGCTACACGCTTGGCAAGAGACAAGCAGCTCTGTCCAATATGGTGTACTGGGCAGCCTGCACCAGCCCCAGGGGCTGGGGAGAAACAACACCGGGCCACAACAGCTCTGCCAGCGCCCCAGGCCCCCCCACTCACCTCGACGCCTCCCCCTTCTGACACCTTATCACTGGGAGGAAAGCGAGTGTGGCTGAAGTAAAAGCCAGCTTATTTCAGAAGTGCACTAGTATTCCCCCTCAGGCCCACAGCCCCCACATCCCTGGTTTTTGCAGAGGGCACGTTCCTCACTCGTCCAACCATGTAATTAAGAACCTCCGTCGCTCCCAGCGTTCACCAGCGAGAACCCGCAAGAATTACAGTCTCCGAAAGCGAGGGAGACGTCCCCGGCCCTTCCAGCCGCAGGCCCCCGCCGCGCCGGCCGCACTCACCGGGTGGGCATCAGGTGGTTGTAGTTGTACACTTTCACGAACGACTTGATCTTGGACCTCTTGGCGATCTTCTTCTTGCCCATGGCGGCAGTCACCTTCCGCGGGTAGCGGTCGATGCCCGCCACCAGGGCGTGGCTGTACGGCCGGTCGGACGTGCCGTCGTCGATGTTCTGCAACACACCGGCCGTGGCCGGCGATGGCACGGCGGAGCGCGGCCCTCCCGGACCCCGCCGGTGCGGCCCCCCCCGGGCCCCCGCCCGTGCGGCCCTCCCCGGGACCCCGCCCGTGCGGCCCTCCCCGGGACCCCGCCCGTGCGGCCGCCCCCCCGCGCTCACCTTCACGATGACGGCCTTGCGCCCCGAGTACCGGCCGGCCAGCACCAGCACCACCTTCCCCGGTTTCATGAACTTCCCCATCTCTGCGGAGACAGGGCGCGGTGTCACGGCCGGGCCGCCGCCCCCGCGGATGACGGCGGATCCGCGCGGCACCCCCCCCGCCACTCACCGAGGCTCCCGCGGCGATGGCGCTCAGACCGGAAGAAGGAAGCAGCCGCCGCGCCTCCGACCCTTCCCTGCGCGTCACGCTTCGTAACTTCCGCTTCCGGGAGCGGGACGACGCCGCCGTTGCCGGGCAACAGCCGGCTGTGCTTGGTACCCGCCCCGCCCCCCCCGGGGCCCCCCCCCGGCCCCTCCCTCCCGCCCCCCGGGGACACACCGGGGCCCCCCCAGGCCCCTCCCTCCCGCTCCCCGGGGACACACCGGGGCCCCCCCCAGGCCCCTCCCTCCCGCCCCCCGGGGACACACCGGGGCCCCCCCCAGGCCCCTCCCTCCCGCCCCCCGGGGACACACCGGGGCCCCCCCCAGGCCCCTCCCTCCCGCCCCCCGGGGACACACCGGGGCCCCCCCCAGGCCCCTCCCTCCCGCCCCCCGGGGACACACCGGGGCCCCCCCCAGGCCCCTCCCTCCCGCCCCCCGGGGACACACCGGGGCCCCCCCCAGGCCCCTCCCTCCCGCCCCCCGGGGACACACCGGGGCCCCCCCCAGGCCCCTCCCTCCCGCCCCCCGGGGACACACCGGGCCCCCCCCCCCGGCCCCTCCCTCCCGCCCCCCCCGGGGACACACCGGGGCCCCGGCCGCAGCACGGGGGCACAGCGGGTCAGTGAATCGGGGCGTCATCCCGCACAGAGCCGGCAGCAGCGCCCCGCGGCGCAGATGAAAACGGGCACAGCAGAGGGCTTCTCCACACAGACACTCGGTCAAGCCGTTTAATGCACCCCGGTAAAACAGCAGGCTGCTGGCGCGCCGGCCCTTGCACACAAAAGCTTCAGAAAAGGATCTCGGGGACCGTGGGACAAAGCCGGGGGTGCGGGCCCCTCACCCAGCAGCCCTGAGGCGGCGGAAGGTGGCTGCTTCTGGGGACTGCTGAGCCTGGCGCTGGAGCAGCGCAGCCCCGGCACCCACAGCTCCGCAGATCTGCCCCCGATTTTTCCACGTCTTCACCCTGGGGAGGGCAAGGCACTCGCCCCTGGGCAACCCCCAAGGCAAGTAAACACCTGCCAGCTTGTCTGGCTCCTCCGTGAGAGGTGGCTTTGTAGGAACGCTATTTACAGCACAAACTCTGAGAGAACCACGAGGCTGCAGCACAGGAGACAAGCTGCACGTTCTAAGGGGCTCTCCCCCACTGCAGGCTCCGTGGCCAGGCCTCTACCGCGCTCAGGGCGGCCAGCCCCGCGCTCACCAGTGAAGCAGCTTTGCTCTTCAGAGCAGCATAGAAGGGGCAGGGTGAGGTGCTGTACAGCACACAACCTCCAGCAGCTTTGCAGTGGCAGCCTTGTAAAACACAGATTTCCAGCATCAAGACACCCTAAGATTTCCCTAAAAGCAAACATCAATTTCAAAGATCCAAATTTGGTCTTAAAAAAGCCAGGCATCTTAAGCCCAGCAGCTGCCTACTTGTGGAAAATGGATGATCTACAATAAAAATACATCAAAAAGCATCTTTGATGTTTTTCAGCTGCCGGACAGCCAGGTCAACCGGGAGGTTGAATTTCAAGTTGCTCAGGCGACTGAGAACATTGAGCGCACTCTCAAAGCCTGTGTTTGCCATGTAGCTCCATGGCTGGTAGTGAGACTGTACCAGAGCACCAGATTTGCAGATCAGATTTACCCAGGAGACCAGGCGCTGCTCATTCAGTGCCATACACACCAGAGCTTTCAGTTCAGAGTCTGCACTGCGCTTGAAGGGGTCGTGCTCCATGAGGACAGTGTGAATCGCAGTCAGCAGGCTCTGTTTGGGAGTAATGGCCAGTCCTCCAGTCACAGGCAAGGCAAAGGACTGAGAGAGCTTGCGAGCCGGGGATTCCACA